GAACCCGACTTGCCTTCTGCGCGACTGCCAGAGCTCGGAGGGGATGGGGAAAGAGGGAAGGTCTGCTGAATTAAGGGTTGCCGAGGGGGGGGGGGGGGGGGGGTCAGAGGCTGGGTCCCCCGTATACGTCCCCAAGACATCCTTTTCCAGCACAATATTGCCAGCCTGGCCACTGGGTTCGCGCACAGAGTTACTACTGCTGCTGCCAGCGGGGGCGGAACTAACGGCGTCAGCCGCGTCGCCGAACAAAAACACTGCACAACTAAATCATACTCGGCGTCGGATTCGCCGTCCGACAGGCCGTCGTCCAGCTCAAAATTGGCTCTCTCGGGCTCAACCGTCAGATCCCCGAACAGAGCCTCAGAAGCTTCAGAGATTCGCTGCCTAGCAAGCTCACGTTTTTGACTGCGCTCAGCTCTGGATCGACTGGATTTTGACCCTGGCGTTGGAGCGACCCCTGGGCGAGGCACCTGAGGTAGACGTCCTGGTGTGACCAGTTCCCGACATAGTAGCTGGGCCCCAGACGATCGAAGTCGAACGAGAATAGCACTATGCGGTTTCCATGGTACTGATAAGATGGAGGACACCCCGACTATGTACGGAATGCACGACTGGTTCGCAATGACGAAATCGAGCAAAGCCCCTTTCCCCGACTCGCAAGTTGCCAAAACGCCACTCGGCTTGCATATAACCCCATCAATCTTATTGAGAAGCCCTCGTCGATCGAGCTCTTCTGGTTCTAGATTGAAGTCCCCCACAAGGAACCACGGTATACGTAGCTGTGATACCAACGCTCCGAGCTTAGCGTATCTAGTGAGGTTCCTGCCCGCGAACCCATCAGAGCAGAACCCGTAAAAAATGATGGCCACCAGTGAGTAGCCGCGCATGTGAACTATGGCTGCGCTGAACCCATCCAACGCAGTCGAGCCCGTCGCTCGTAGGTCGCGAAGAACAGCATCGGTCTCGCTGAGGCTCTGCATCTGAAGGTGTTGTCGGCACGTGAGCCATTCCCCACCCTCATTCGCCTTTCCCTGAGTATTCCCCGACTGCTCCCGCCCAGTGGCTCGGGCTCGATTGATGATGAGCTTAAATTGATGCTTCTTTGCCTGCTCTCGCCAATGATGCACGTCCTTCAAATTCTCGACGTGAGTCTCAGTGATCCCGAAATAGTGAAATGGCCTGCAAGCTGGTCATGTCAGGAAGTTCCATGCTTGCCGACCCATAGTTGTGACATTGCCGAAGAAGAAAAAGCTATCTGTGCCACTCTTGGATGCGGTGGCCAGCTCCTCCTCCTCATCATCAGCACCTGACTGCGCACGCCCAGATGCTGATCCCCTTGGGCCTGTTGATGGCGTTCGTCCCGCAGCGGCGCCTCCTGCGGGGCCCCTCTGCGGTCGTCACGCCGCCGCCTTGGCGGCTGGGGGCCCCGCTTGCGTCGCCGCCTGCGCTGCCGCCTCAGCCGCCGCCAGCTTGGCCGCCGTGATCTTCATGGCCGCCTCCTTGATCCTCGCAGCCTGAGCTGCCTTGTCCTCGGCAGGGGGGCCGCCGCTGGGCCCGCTGCTGCTGCTGCTGTCGGCGGTGCCCTGGGTGCCCTTGCCGCTCTCCTTGTCAGCGGCACTAGTTCCCTGAGCTTCACCATCCGCTCCCTTCCTCTTCTTCATGTACCTCGTCTCGATCTGCTGCTGCAGCTCCTTCGCGCGGGTGAGCCAAGAGACCACCTCGGAGTTCTTCGTGCTCAACTGCGCTCGAGCTGCCTTGAGATCACCTTCAAGCTTCCGCAAAACTTCTTTCTCGCTGGCCTCTGCTTCCAAGGTGTCGATCTTCGCGAAGAAGTCCTCATCCCAGGAGAGACTGAACAGCGTGTCGCCGTCCTTCTGCCCAGCGGGCTTGTCATGAGGAATGACGCCGACCTTGGATGCGAGGGCCTGCACGGCGAGCCGCTTGGACTCCTCCGCCGTGGCGAGCGTGATAGCCAACTCTGCCTCCTTGGCCTCCGCGCGCACCAAGTTCTCCCTGGCGCGCACCAGGGCGTGGAAGGCCTGGTCGTGCTTGGTGGTCGCATCTCTGACGGCACTATCTGCTTTCGTAGCAGCTTCCTCAGGTGAAGAACTGGCCTCTGCGGCCCGCATTTCGTTCTTGAGGATCTGGATCTGGCTGGTCAGGGCTTGCTTGCTCATCGGGTCTGTCACGACTGCCAGGGCGCTCTCGAGTGCCGACGCCTTGGACGAGACAGCTGCCTGCACGGTGTCCCCTGCTCTTGCCAGAACCAACTGCGTATTATGAACATCGGAGTACGTGTCTTTGTCCTTGCCACCACTTTTCTTTCCCTGATAGAGCTTGACCTGGCGTCCGCACTTCTGGCATCTGCGATCTCGCTCCAAGAGAATAGAATTCCATTCGCTTCGTCCACAGGCTTTGTAGGTGGACCACGGAGTGGAGGTGGCCTTGGACATGGCTCCCTGAAGAATGATTTCCCCTCTTCGCCACCGAGAAGAGAGGT